ACAGAAAAATGAATTTAAAAACATGTTTATCTTTTTAGCACTTTAAATGGAAAACTCTTAACTCTTCTTCTATTTCTCCATCATGAAGTCATTCTATTCATCTTTTCTATAAGCTTCAAGTCATGTGATTCCTTTAGAAAAGTGATTCTTAGAACTATTAATCTGTGTGGTAGTCCAAAATGCATATCACATAATTTCGAATTTTTAAAAATGACATCCCATTACAGATGAAATGAAGGACAAAACCAACCCTTTTAAAAGTAGTATTATGCTCATTTCCTTTGGCAAAAACTTTACAAGACTGCTGGTGGCAACTGGGAAATGAGAAAGCCAGATAGACAGGCTGAATGCCAGCAAAGTACTATGTGGATTAAAGCTGGAACATAGGTCTGGAGAAATTATTAGCAATCTCTGAACTCACTCACCCGTCAACACAATTAAAAAATCAGAAAAACAATTACAAACACACAAAATAGTTTTGCTGCAAGGCTCATTTTTGCATAGCACAAGAAGATGAAAATTCATTATCAAATTCATTATCAAGGAACCATGAGCTTCTGGAAGGAAGTATCCATTTTCAAATCCAGTTCAAAACCAGTCCTACTGAAAACACTACTTACTGTTGTAAGGCGCTTCTAATTGTTGGAGAGTAGCCTCAAAGGTCAGCTGAATCTTTGGATTATCTAACCACAACTGCAACTGTATTTAAATGATAGAAATTGTATTACAATCAAATAGACATATACCATTTGATCACTTTAAAATATCTTTTTAACTTTAAGGCCTCAAATATAGGTTTTCCTTTCAGTGAAACAGTAAGGGTTATATTCCTGACAAAGAAACTAATGAAACACAAAACTATGTCAAATGAGTGAATTATTAAAGAAGCTAGGAGATAATTTAGCCTGCCTAGTAAGTTGCCAAGATCATACAGCTGGGGAGCAACAAGAATTTAAACCTGAGTTAGATAACTCCAGAGATCCTGAGTAGATACAAAATCAAATGATCAATCAGATATGTGGGGAGGTGTGTGTGCAAAGGATAACTCCTCAGTTTTGGGCTTGCACAACTAAATGAGTTGGTATGCCATTCACTGAATGAGGGACACTGAAATAAGAGATAATGAGTTAAGTTTCAAGACAACAAGAGGAGGTGAAAGACTGGCATCTAGATACATAGCTGGGGTTCAGAGGAGAGTTAAGGTTTAGAGCCACTTGCTTATGGGTGATAACTGAAGCCAAGTGTGTAGAACAGGGCTCCTAGTGGGAAAGAACAGGGGAGAGAGGAGAGGACCTTAAGGAACTCTAACCAGTTCACATAGTGGCCTGTTGTTAAGGATAAGGCTATAAAGCATTCAGAGAAGACAACCAGGGAGGCAGGAGAAAAACTAGAATAATGTGTTAAGCTAAGGGAGCTGTGTATTTAAGAAAGGAGGAGTCAATTATTTTGAATACTGCTGAAAAAGCAGTAAGATGAGGAATAAAAAATATTATGGTACAATCAATTTATTTACAATCAATTTATTCTTTTCAAACTGAATATATATCTGCAAAATGTAAGACCAGCTGAATACCATCATATTTACCTCTTAGCTAAAAGTTAATAAAGACTGCTCCATAAACAAGTTTCAAAGAAAGAACTAAAGTGTAAATAAATTCAGGGCTTCCCTAGTGGCGCAGTGGTTGAGAGTCCTCCTGCCGATGCAGGGGACATGGGTTTGTGCCCCGGTATGGGAAGATCCCACATGCTGCAGAGCGGCTAGGCCCGTGAGCCATGGCCACTGAGCCTGCGCGTCTGGAACCTGCGCTCCGCAACTGAGAGGCCACAACAGTGAGAGGCCCGCGTACAGCAAAAGAAAAAAAAAAAGTGCAAATAAATTCAATTACAGAGATATGACCAAATCCATATGGACCCTCTGCTTTTCTGTGGCCACTGTCAAAGGAAAATGGAATTCCTCAAGCACACAGTGGGCCCAAGTCCATCACCCCTCAACACAAGCCTTCTTCCTCCTTCCATCTTATAATATAAAGGTCAGGTCATAGGTTCTAGTTGAATAATCCTAAAGTTGTGGTTTTAAAATCTGGAAGCAAAAGATGCAGTTTAACACAAGAGAACTGACACAATTCTTACAGGAAAGAATGACTTAAGTTCCGTTTTATAGCCAGAGACCACAACTCTAACCTGGGCTAGTCCTTCCCCAAATCTGGATTTCTGGTCACAGGTAATGAATCAAAGAAAACAGAGATCCCTATAAATCCACCACTCAAATTCAAGTAAAAACTCCCCTCAGGATGAAACAAAAAAATGACAATTTTGTCTGAAATCCACTTAGAACAAATGTTGACATGTTACACAAAGAAGCTGATTCAATTATAAGACAAATCAGCCTCAGAAATGCACATTACGAATTTTCCATTCACTTTAAAAAAATCACCCTATTTTCCTTCACAAAAAAGAACCTTTATTCTGTACTACAAAAACCTACCAATCACTCTAGATGAATGGCATTTAACAATCCAAATTTAGCAGTAGTTTTGCAATGTAATGGTCAAAATAAAGACGTTAGTGGTGGCTAAAAAGACATCTCTGAGCTATATCCAAAATAACTGAAATTACAACATGAATTTCTTCTACTTTGTATCACTCCAGAGTACAATGAATATGTTCTGAATAGTATATAAAGAATTTCTGATGAATAAAGGACATTAAAGAAAAATTCACAGAAGAAATACAAATGACTAATAAATGTGAAAGAGCAATCAGTCTGGGGCTTCCCTGGTGGCGCAGTGGTTGAGTCTGCCTGCCGATGCAGGCAACACGGGTTCATGCCCCGGTGCAGGAGGATCCCACATGCCGCAGAGCGGCTGGGCCCGTGAGCCATGGCCGCTGAGCCTGCGCGTCTGGAGCCTGTGCTCCGCAATGGGAGAGGCCACAGCAGTAAAAGGCCCGCGTACCGCAAAAAAAAAAAAAAAAAAAAAAAAAGCAATCAGTCTAAGTAATCAAAGAAATGGAAAATACATGAAATGATTTTGGTCTACTACAGCAGCACAGATTATCATCGTTTTAATCACAAAAACAGGGCAGGGTAACGAGGGTGTCAACTGGGTCAGCCTCTCTGGGAAGCAATCTGACAACATGTATCAAATCTTTAAAAGTGTTCATACTTTTTGACCAGGTAGTTTTCCTTCTAGAACGCTATCCTAAGGAAATAACCAGAGATAAGAGTCAAGAATGTATAAAGCTGTTCAGAGCTTCATTATAATAAGCAAAAATGGACATTTAAATGCCCAACAGTTAAAGTATGACCCAACTGTCAGACAAAAAAATATTTTGCCGACATTAAAAATTAATCATTTAGCCAGAGGAGGAAGATCAACCAGATGAGAAGAACAGAATAAGGGTTTCTCTTACCCTGGGAAGGAAAGACAAAGTGATTATTTTTAATGTATTATTAAAAAAAAAAAGTGTGTAAAGATTCTTATTGTGTGTTTATGAGGTTATGAGGAAAGAAAAGGATCCCAAGAATGCATGGAAGTAGGATCTCAATTTTGTAAAAACAAAAATTAAATGTACCTTTAAAAAAATACCTGGAGGAAAAAACGCCTAATTTTTAACAGTGGTTATCTCGGAATAGTATTACAGATAACTTAAAAATTCTTTCCTCTCTATTTTCCCCCCCATATTCTATATAAAAGTAATATGTACCTTTTACAATTCAGGTGGAAAAAAGCTGATTGGAAACTTACTGTGCGGTTTCTAATGAACAGAAAAACCTTCTGGGTTTGCTGTGGTCCACTGATGATATCTGGAAAACAGGCTGCTTCTTGAGAAGTCATCCGGTCATGAGGAAGTCTACTCTGGAAAGCTGCACCCTCCACACCTAACAAAGAAAAGCACAGGACTTCTGGGAAAAGTGAAAGTGAACACAAAACTAGGGATAATGATTATGCCTCAAACTCCTTTCTTGCCTGAAGAACCTCTGTAAAGCTTTGCCTTATTTGCAGACTGATCTCACTTCCTTTTTTAAAAAAACTTTCAATTTGCTCAAAAGCTGAAACATCCTTAGGATTTAGTCATTCTTTTCAGCTTAACATTCCAAAAATCAGTTTACTAATGAGTGAAACAATATACCATATAAAGCACAAGGCATTTAGAATATTTTCTTCATCCACAAAAAAACTTTAAAATATTGGAGGATACTCTAATTAAAATTAGCATTACTGATAATATACAATAAAATTTAAAACTAAAGAACCAGAATAAAGGAAAATACACTAACGAAAGCAAAAGAGGTTATGGAGTGAAAAACACAATCACATGCCTTCTTTTAGGACTACAGCAGGGAACATGAAGAGGACTCTAAGGTTTAATAACCAACACATGATCTCATAAATGGCACCATTCATCAGTTCTCATAATTCAGTGCTGGCAAGCAGTGAAAGAAACTAAGCAGACTACAATGAAGAGATAAAAGAAAGCAAGGAATTCGCCTTTTCTGGCAGAAACATTAGAAATGCTTTACTACATATTGCAAGTAAAATATTTTACTGCATATACTATATAGTAATATATATACATAGTATATATATAACTTATATAACAAGTATAATTCTTAAAATTGGGTATTAAATTGATATTTTTATAAGCTGATGGTTAAGTACATCTTTTTAAGATGTCCTCAGAAACATTCACATATATTTTACTTTTATTTCTAAGATGATCTCTCCCTGGTGGTCTAGTGGTTCGGATTCGGCGCTCTCTATCTAAGATGATCTTACAAATATATACTTCCATCAGCTTCTGAACATATCAAGAAACAATTTAAAGAGTTTCAAAATTCAATACCACTGAAGTAATTATATAAGTAACAAGACAGGCACCAGATATCCACATTTAATCATTTTAAAGCACATAAAACAAGAAGTTGGAAGCACTGATAATGGAAGCAACTTTAAAGGAAAGGCATTAGTAAGATTAGGAGAATAAAAAGAACAAGGCAGAGACCTTCAATATGGTGGAGGAGTGAGACGTGGAGATCACCTTCCTCCCCACAAATACATCAGAAATACATCTACACGTGGAACAACTCCTATAGAACGCCTACTGAACGCTGGCAGAAGACCTCAGACATCCCAAAAGGCAAGAAACTCCCCACGTACCTGGCCATGTGGCTGACAGGGTCTTGGTGCTCCAGCCGGATGTCAGGCCTGTGCCTCTGAGGTGGGAGAGCCGAGTTCAGGACATTGGTCCACCAGAGACCTCCCAGCTCCACATAATATCAAACGGCGAGAGCTCTCCCAGAGATCTCCATCTCAACACTAAGACCCAGCTCCACTGAACAACCAGCAATCTACAGTACTGGACACCTTATGCCAAACAACTAGCAAGACAGGAACACAACCTCACCCATTAGCAGAGAGGCTACCAAAAATCATAATAAGGTCACAAACACCCCAAAACACACCACCGGATGTGGTCCTGCCCACCAGAAAGACAAGATCCAGCCTCATCCACCAGAAGACAGGCACTACTCCCATCCACCAGGAAGCCTACACAACCCACTGAACCAACCTTAGCCACTAGGGGCAGACACCAAAAACAACAGGAACTATGAACCTGCAGCCTGCAAAAAGGAGACCCCAAACACAGTAAGTTAAGCAAAATGAGAAGACAGAGAAACACACAGCAGATGAAGGAGCAAGGTAAAAACGTACCAGACCAAACAAATGAAGAGGAAACAGGCAGTCTACCTGAAAAAGAATTCAGATAAAGATGATCCAAAATCTTGAAAATAAAATGGACAAATACAAGGATCGTTTCACAAAGAGCTAGAAGAACTAAAGAGCAAACAAACAATGATGAACAACACAATAAATGCAATAAAAACTTCTCTACAAGGAATCAATAGCAGAATAACTGAGGTAGAAGAACAGATAAGTGACCTGGAAGATAAAACAGTGGAAATAACTACTGCAGAGCAGAATAAAGAAAAAAGAATGAGAAGAATTGAGGACAGCCTTAGAGACCTCTGGGACAACATTAAACGCACCAACGTTCGAATTATAGGGGTCCCAGAAGAAGAAGAGAAAAAGAAAGGGAGAAAATATCTGAAGAGATTATAGTTGAAAACTTCCCTAATACGGAAAAGGAAATAGTCAATCAAGTCCAGGAAGCACAGAGAGTCCCATAAAGGATAAATCCAAGGAGAAACACGCCAAGACACATATTAATCAAACTGTCAAAAATTAAATACAAAGAAAAAATATTAAAAGCAGCAAGGGAGGGCTTCCCTGGTGGCGCAGTGGTTGAGAGTCCGCCTGCCAATGCAGGGGGCACGGGTTCGTGCCCCGGTCCGGGAAGATCCCACATGCCGTGGAGCGGCTAGGCCTGTGAGCCATGGCTGCTAAGCCTGCGTGTCCGGAGCCTGTGCTCTGCAACGGGAGAGGCCCACGTACTGAAAAAAAAAAAAAAAGCAGCAAGGGAAAAACAACAAATAACATACAAGGGAATCCCCATAAAGTTAACAGCTGATCTTTCAGCAGAAACTCTGCAAGCCAGATGGGAGTGGCAAGACATATTTAAAGTGATGAAAGGGAAAAACCTACAATCAAGATTACTCTACCCAGCAAGGATCTCATTCAGATTTGATGGAGAAATTAAAACCTTTACAGACAAGCAAAAGCTAAGAGAATTCAGCACCACCAAACCAGCTTTACAACAAATGGTAAAGGAACTTCTCTAGGCAGGAAACACAAGAGAAGGAAAAGACCTACAATAACAAACCAAAAACAATTAAGAAAATGGTCACAGGAACACACATATCGATAATTACCTTAAATGTAAATGGAATAAACACTCCCACCAAAAGACACAGACTGGCTGAACGGATACAAAAACAAGACCCGTATATATGCTGTCTACAAGAGACCCACTTCACACCTAGGGACACATACACTGAAAGTGAGGGGATGGAAAAAGATATTCCATGCAAATGGAAATCGCAAGAAAGCTGGAGTAGCAATTCTCACATCAGACAAAATAGACTTTAAAACAAAGACCATTACAAGAGACAAAGAAGAACACACATAATGATAAAGGGATCACTCCAAGAAGAAGATATAACAATTTAAATATTTATGCATGCAACAGAGGATCACCTCAATACATAAGGCAAATGCTAACAGCCATAAAAGAGGAAATCGACAGTAACAGAATCATAGTAGGAAGCTTTACCACCCCATTTTCACCAATGGACAGATCATCCAAAATGAAATAAGGAAACACAAGCTTTAAATGATACATTAAACAAGATGGACTTAATTGATATTTATAGGACATTCCATCCAAAAACAACAGAATACACTTTCTGCTCAAGTGCTCATGGAACATTCTCCAGGAAAGATCATATACTGGGTCATAAATCAAGCCTTAGTAAATTTAAGAAAATTGAAATCATATCAAGTATCTTTTCTGACCACAGTGCTATGAGACTAGATATCAATTACAGGGAAAAAATCTGTAAAAAATACAAACACATGGAGGCTAAACAATACACTACTTAATAACCAAGAGATCACTGAAGAAATCAAAGGTGAAATCAAAAAATACCTAGAAACAAATGACAATAAAAACGTGATGACCCAAAACCTATGGGATGCAGCAAAAGCAGTTCTAAGAGGGAAGTTTATAGCAATACAATCCTACCTCAAGAAACAAGAAACATCTCAAATAAACCACCTAACCTTACACCTAAAGCAATTAGAGAAAGAAGAACAAAAAACCCCCAAAGTTAGCAGAAGGAAAGAAATCATAAAGATCAGATCAGAAATAAATGAAAAAGAAATGAAGGAAACAATAGCAAAGATCAATAAAACTAAAAGCTGGTTCTTTGAGAAGATAAACAAAATCGATAAACCATTAGCCAGACTCAAGAAAAAAAGGCAGAAGACTCAAATCAACAGAATAAGAAATGAAAAAGAAGTAACAACTGACACTGCAGAAATACAAAGGATCATGAGAGATTACTACAATCAACTATATGCCAATAAAATGGACACCCTGGAAGAAATGGACAAATTGTTAGAAAAGCACAACCTTCCGAGACTGAACCAGGAAGAAATAGAAAATATAAACAGACCAATCACAAGCAGTGAAATTGAAACTGTGATTAAAAATCTTCCAACAGGGCTTCCCTGGTGGCGCAGTGGTTGGGAGTCCGCCTGCCGATGCAGGGGACGCGGGTTCGTGCCCTGGTCCGGGAGGATCCCACATGCCGCGGAGAGGCTGGGCCCGTGAGCCATGGCCGCTGGGCCTGCGCGTCCGGACCCTGTGCTCCACAATGGGAGAGGCCACAAGAGTGAGAGGCCTGCGTACCGCAAAAAAAAAAAAAAAAATCTTCCAACAAACAAAAGCCCAGGACCAGATGGCTAAACAGGCGAATTCTATCAAACATTTAGAGAAGAGCTAACATCTATCCTTTTCAAACGCTTCCAAAATATAGCAGAGGGAGGAACACTCCCAAACTCATTCTACAAGGCCACCATCACCCTGATACCAAAACCAGACAAAGATGTCACAAAGAAAGAAAACTACAGGCCAATATCACTGATGAACATAGATGCAAAAATCCTCAACAAAATACTGGCAAACAGAATCCAACAGCACATTAAAAGAATCACACACCATGATCAAGTGGGGTTTATCGCAGGAATGCAGGGATTCCTCAGTATACGCAAATTGATCAATGTGATAAACCATATTAACAAATTGAAGGAGAAAAACCATATGATCATCTCCATAGATGCAGAAAAAGCTTTCAATCAAATTCAACACCCATTTATGATAAAAACCCTCCAGAAAGTAAGCATAGAGGGAACTTACCTCAACATAATAAAGGCCATATATGACAAACCCACAGCCAACATCATTCCCAATGGTGAAAAACTGAAACCATTTCCTCTAAGATCAGGAATAAGACAAGGTTGTCCACTCTCACCACTATTATTCAACATAGTTTCGGAATTTTTAGCCACAGCAATCAGAGAAGAAAAAGAAATAAAAGGAATCCAAATCAGAAAAGAAGTAAAGCTGTCACTGTTTGCAGATGACATGATACCACACATAGAGAATCCTAAAGATGCTACCAGAAAACTACTAGAGCTAATCAATGAATTGGTAAAGTAGAAGGATACAAAATTAATGCACAGAAATCTCTTGCATTCCTATACACTAATGATGAAAAATCTGAAAGAGAAATTAAGGAAACACTCCCATTTACCACTGCAACTAAAAGAATAAAATACCTAGGAATAAACCTACCTAAGTAGACAAAAGACCCGTATGCAGAAAACTATAAGACACTGAAATTAAAGACAATACAAACAGATGGAGAGATACACCATGTTCTTGGATTGGAAGAATCAACAATGTGAAAATGACTATCTTACCCAAAGCAATCTACAGATTCCAGGCAATCCCTATCAAACTACCAATGGCAGTTTTCACAGAACTAGAACAAAAAATTTCACAATTTGTATGGGAACACAAAAGACCCCGAATAGCCAAAGCAATCTTGAGAAAGAAAAACGGAGCTGGAGGAATCAGGCTCGCTGACTTCAGACTATACTACAAAGCTACAGTAATCAGGACAGTATGGTACTGGCACAAAAACAGAAATATAGATCAATGGAACAGGATAGAAAGCCCAGAGATAAACCCATGCACATATGGTTACCTTATTTTTGATAAAGGAGGCAAGAATATACAATGGAGAAAAGACAGCCTCTTCAATAAGTGGTGCTGGGAAAACTGGATAGCTACATGTAAAAGAATGAAATTAGAACACCGCCTAACACCATACAAAAAAATTAACTCAAAATGGATTAAAGACCTAAATGTAAGGCCAGACACTATAAAACGCTTAGAGGAAAACCTAGGTAGAACACTCTATGACATAAATCACAGCAAGATCCTTTTTGACCCACCTCCTAGAGAAATGGAAATAAAAACAAAGATGAACAAATGGGACCTAATGAAACTTAAAAGCTTTTGCACAGCAAAGGAAACCATAAACAAGACGAAAAGACAACCCTCAGAATGGGAGAAAATATTTGCAAA